TAACAGTTACAGCCCATATCTGTCCGTTAGTTCCTAACACATTACCCAGTCCATATAAGGATAAATATCTGCCATGTTTATTTGTTTTGTTTTTTTCCTGATTTGTTTTCAAAGTGTTCCTTTATCTCTTTTTGATCAGTGTATATGATCCATAAACCAAACTGAGTTTGACAATCCTGGTTTAGACGTGTTAAGAAGGTTTTTCAGGAGGGGCCCATATGTTTGTTGCTTTTTTTCACTCAATCATTCAGCCAACATTTTCCAAACACTGTCTGAAACCCTGACTTTGTGATTATTTATTTATATGCTGTACCGGGTTTATTATTTTTGCTTTGGTTGAGTCCTTCATTGATTCCCTTATTGATTGTTGATTCGTTTCCTGTATGAAAAAGCTGGAACAAGTTTTCAGCTTTAAAGTAGCTGTTTTCTTGTGTTTGTGCCTGAACATAGTGTAGAAACACAGCATTAAATGCTTTCGTGTGGCTCAGCTGTGCAAAAGCTCCACAAGTTCGGTGTAACTGTTATCCACTGAGCAGCTAGAAGGATGGACTGGCCAGGTCTCAGCTGGAACGTTTTCTCGTTTGCATCCCATTATTACAGACTGGTACACACAGCAAATACTTCAGTTTAATTCAACAGTTTCTACACAGAGAATGAGGTAAAGTGATATTGAAGGTCCTGATGGCATCAGCCTTTCTCTTCATCTCTCCCCTGACTGTGTGAATGTATGTGTCAATGAAAACTTATCAGACTCTTTCAGTGGTGGGTGCTGTCTAACCCAGGGCAGGCACACTTGTCTTCCATCTCAAATCAAGGCTTGCATAGATAGAGCGCTTTAGGTTGAAGTTGTAAAATGTTGCTTTTGTTGTTTCTTTCTTTGGGTTTTGTTTGTTTTGTCAGTCTACATTTGCTTTGTACTTACATGTCTGTCTCCGCCAAGGAAACCTGTTGAAGAGCCTGCAGAAAATACTTTCTTTCTAACCTCCCTGACCCACTCTCATCCTGCCCACAATAACTACTTGCCTGCTCGGAGCATTGGTGCTCAGACTGGCAGAAAAAGAGGAGAAGCTCTGTTTCTCCTCCCAAATAAAGTTATCTGAATATAATAACTTTATTTGGGAGCTTGTCTCTGCCCCAGAGACAGAGACAAGCTGTTCGGACTGCTCAAGTTGCCTTTCCTAGTACGGCTCCTGCCTGTGAATGAAATAAGAGACTAATCCAAAGATACTTGCTTGATCAAAATTTCTGTTACCTGCCTGTGATGTCCACTGCTGCATAAGCAATGTAAAAATAAAAATGCCCAAAGCTCTTGCAATATTATATAAAATAAACATATCTAAATTTCATTTATAATCATGTATTAAGCTTATGGATCCTATATTGTTCCTTAATAGTTCAAATGAGATATGATTATCATTGTTTATGAAAAATGTTTGTTTACATTCTTTTATTGTTGTCATTCTTTTGTAAAATGACATTTTAATACTTAATAATGGTCTGCTCTGTTTTCATGAAGATTCTGTTTATGAAAACTACTTTTCGACTGTGTCCTGCATTTTGTGTACTACAGCAAAATCTTGACATTGAACTGTTTTGTATTATACTGAGAGATGCTTGTACCAGAAGAGGCTTTATAGCGGGACTCAGTGTCCATGCATTTCATCTGGGTTTGTGTAGGTGAAAAAACCTTTCCATTTTCAGTGTTGTTTAGCTGATTCTCTAGTCATTCCATTAAAGAACATAATTTGTGTCAGCAATGGTCTTTTGAAAGGAAAATTCACTTCTAGTCACATTTTTCCATAACTTTTGCACAGGAAAATATGCCTCTAACCACGTCTATCTATCTTTAATATTTTAGATGGGTTTTGTATTCCTAAAGACACTCTTTTAACATTTATATATTAAACTCACAGATGGCATCAACACCTCTGCTGAGTGAAACTAATTTTTTGAGAAGATCTGAAACAACTGCAAGCCTAGTTTCATTATTAAAACATGTTGTGCTGTGCTCAGCAAATTTGAAGCTCATTTTAAGTCTGTGCAGAGCCCTGATTTAGTAAAACGAAGTTTGTCATCACACAACCATTAAATAGCTTTATGGTCAATCAAAATTTTTTAACAGCAGGTTGCAATATTCATCTACTGATTGTTAGGTTCCACATGCAACACAATCTCACAGCAGTACGTGAAATGCTCACAAAATTGAATCTATTATTCATTTCCCTCGATACAACCCCTAACTTTTTCTTTTCTTTTTTTTTTTACAGGAATATGAGTTATTTATCAGCATGGCCTCTGCTGATCTGTTGCATTGTGTCCTTCAACACAGAGGTTTTGAGGATGGAAAAAGTCCATGTTTGGATGCTGAAGGAATGGCAGAGGCCAAAGTCATTGTTTAAGCCCTACAGCAGAACCGTTACTTTTTCACTTAAGTTTTGCTTCAAGTCCATTTTCTTCATTTTAATTTGATGCTCGGTTATATTTAGGCACCTAAACTAATCAGACTGAAGTAAAGTGGGTTTCACTTTGTTCAAAGCTCTGTTTTCTTGGTTAGCTGGGTCTGCACTCGGTGAGCACTCAAAAATATACAGTAACAGGATCATGAAGTATTCTCCCGATTTCTCCTGTAGAATGATGGTCAACTTTGTGTACACAATAAAAGAGACTGAATTTGTGGGACTAATTGACCAGCACTTACGGCATGAGACCAGGTTACGATGTAAATGTTGAGGTGTCCTTTGAAAAAGAGATTTTAAATCTTTTACTTGGACAAATAGTGTAAATAACTGCAGAGCCAAAGAACAGTTAAATCTCTGGAGCTCAACACATTGTAGCTGCTAAAACCACACTCTCTGTTTTTAATTTGGATAACACTAAATGACTAATAAAAGAAGAAGTTCTCATTTTTAAGGCTTTCAACTGCTGTTGTTTTTGGATGAGCTCAATCAGCACAGACCCCACTAATTGCAAACAACAAATCACTTGTTGTCATTGAGCAGGGAACAAGCCATGGAGGTCAGTCTAAGGACAGTGTAAAAAAAACAAAACAAATGTGTGCTGAAAGCTGCAACGAGCCCATACGCAAGAAAGATCCATACACTAGATCAATACACACAGTGGCAACAGACATATGAGACAACTCTGTCATGTGAAGATGAATGCATCATCCCAGCATTCAGGACAGGATTGTGAAAAAAAAAATCTCTAAGTGAACAGAGCTGCCTATGCCCTCAACAACATCTGAGACACCTGCGGTCAAGCTGCTCAGCCATTGGAGAATCCATAAATAACTCAACCCGAAACAATAATCTGAGAGAAGAAATAGCCTATTTGTCATCCTTGAGGTATTATTGATGCACTGGACCTCTCCTGCCCCCACTAAGGATTCTGCCTCACTACATCTAGTATATCTCTGCAAAGCAAAAGACAAGCACCACCAGGATCAAGCCGGTCCCTTCGGTCTCTGGAGAACCAGAAATCCATCATCTTCTCACTGGCAAAAGTCCTTCACAAATGTTTCAGGCAGCTATAAGAAAAACAAAGTATGCAGACACCTTTATCAAACTTTTGTAAGCTTTTGGCGGGGTAGGCTTCTTTGCTCCACAGAAGGGAAACCGTAATTTTACAGCATGCAGTGGTGCTTTTGCTTCAACCCTCTTAGCAACCATCAACATCAGAAATGCACCGGGCGCAGATCCTAGTTTATATCGAAACAGTTCTTATAACTTTGTTGAAAGTTAAAATGTAGTTTGTAGTTTGCTTTCAGAATTGTGCAGGAGTGTGGTTAATGTCTTTAGGAGCATGCCTACCTATGTTATTGAAATCGACCCATTAAAATATGAATTATCTGGGATGGAAAGATTATTGCAATGGCTGTCAGTTATGTAACCATCACACTGCTGTAGAGGTAAATGTCTGGATCAGTTGCAACACTAGAAAGAAAATTAGGGGAAAACAAAAACTAGTGGGACTAAACAGATACAAGACATTTGAAAATTATGAATTAATTAATTTAATTACTGATATAGCCAACATTCAGTAAAGTGAATGAAAACGAGTTGCTTATAGAGGATTCTTATGTTGTCTGTGATAGTAATAGTAATGTAACAGTCAACAAGTTAGGGGAAAGTAAAACACAGGAGTCAGTAAAACACCATCTTTACTGACAAAAGGTCATACCTCTAGGGTTTGATTTATAGAAAACAAATACATTTAAATCAAAGCAGTACTCTACTTTTAAAAAAGCTTCCAGGAGAAAATGTTTTGGAGAACTTATCCAGTACACATTTAAAGCCACCCCTCAGTTCTTCATGTTTTGCTAAAATGGGGAAATGGAAATGTCATGGTTGTATTATGTGTTTTTCTATCCAGGTATGCTTTTACTGCATTGGCAGTGTGTTTGGGATGACTGTCATGCTGAAAAATGAAGTTGGCAATCTGATACTTTCTATATAGTATTACATAATGGTTCAAAAACTGACAGCGCTTTTGCGCATTCACAATTCCATCAGTTTTACAAGAGCCCAAACACCACAGGCTGAAATGCAGCACCAAACCATGACAGAGCCTCCATCTCTGTCCGCTTCGCCTCTCGGTATAAATTAATGCCGATTTAAACAAACACAAATTCAAATGTGGACTCATCACTTCATGAAACCTGTTGCCACTGATGTTCAGTGCAGCCCTTGTGTATCAAAACAGTCTTTGTTAGGATCACTTTACTTGTTAACAGTAGAAAAATGCAGTAAAAAATAACAGAGTTATAAATCTTGCTTTCTGAAGCCTAATGAACCTTTTGAAACGACGTGTAATTAGTTTCACAGCTCAGTTAGCTCGCTTTTACCGGGCCACACGCACGTGAACGCGGTAACCTGAATAAGCGTTAAATTTAAATTGAACGGCAATTAAAAGGTGTGAGCCGCTCGGTGAGGGGGCGGGGTCTGGGAGGATCAGGTGGGGTGGTCCACTGTGACTTTATTTTTCACCAGAGAGAGCAGGAGGACAGCAGGAGGGAGAGAAGCACTTGACTTTGCTTTCCGTGCTGTCTGCGGCTGACACTGTGACAAATGACATGCTTTCAGAGAAAATTAGCTGAATTCCGGTGAGATCTGCGCACATGGATGAAGGTAAGACTTTCCCCCCCTCCCTTCTTTTTTCTTGTCCATACTCCTGCTTATTGTACTTCACAAACTGAGTGGCTTCCAGTCATCAGAATGGATCATTGTGCTTGTTTGTGATTATTTTTAACCATGTGAAGGAGGCGGTTATTGTCTGGCAGGCCACATATAAGCACACTGAGAAAACTGCTTTATTTCCATTTAGTAATGATAATCCAGGCAACCTTTTAGAGAGTTTATGTTTTCTGTGCATTTAAAATATGTAACAGAAGGTTTATTATTAGAAATGAACGCAAATAAAAGGCATGCACAGGCCATATTCATTCAGAATATGTGGAATATTGAAGTGAATATTAATAATGCAAAGAAAATGATGAATGGTTGTAGCTGCATAAGGAACGTGCTTTAAAGCTCAGGAGAATTCAAAGCTTTGGTCCTCAGGGATGTATCTTCCATTAAATGATGACAAACACTAACAAAAATCACTTCTTCAGGTGGATGAAAAGGAGATGCACTCACATTATCCGCCCTGAAAGGCTGTGTATGTTCAAGACTAGTGGAATGTAATGATCGGGGACTGAATTATGAAACCCCCCCCCCCCAAGAGAATAAATAGCAATTTAGAAACTGACTTCAAATGTGCAGTGATTCATCACGGTAGTGCTCTCTCCTTCAGAGACCTGACACAAGCAGTTATGTTACAGTGTTTGCAGAAATGATATATGAACTCTACCGAGGCATTCACGGGCATCTGAATCAGTCATAAATTCCATTTTTCTTTTATGTGATGTGGTGACCTGGAGGAAACATGTTCAAAATAAACATTTAACATCCTTGATTTTTCTTTTCTCCCTTTTCTCAGAGCTGATGTTCTGGAGAAATATTATATTTCTTTGTTTGTTGGACATAGAACAGATCTAAAGTAATTAGATCTTTGTGCAAATGTGAGCATTTTCTCACTTCATCATAAGTGATTTTTTTCATGTGTCCTTGTGGGAGCTTGTGGTAACAAATTTTCCAAATTAAGTTCATTGAATACACTCTCATCAGTCTGCAAATCATGCACCGAAAAGCAATAAATTAGTTACAGGCAAGCAGGTTGGGGTGAAAAAAGTGCATCCTTGATGATTAGTGCCTAACAAAATCTAATGAATGAATATGAATATTCTTTATTGTCATTGTCACAAGTACAATGAAATTGAAAGATGTCTCCGGTCAATGCAACATCACGAAAGATAAATACTTAAAAACTGTAATAGATAGGATATAAAAGATAGAAATACATAATAATAAGTATGTAGGAATGTGTTTGACATGATGCTGAGATGTTTGCACTTTACAAAGTGTAGCAAACTCAATTGCTTTCACGGGACTTCATGATCTGCTGCATTCACAAAACAATATCAGGACAGTTAATAGTAAGTTGATATTGTCTGTGTTACCCTTGTGATAATGATACCATCCCATGCTAGGAACTGCTGTTCTGATTTAATATACCCATGGTCAGGCTACCTTAAGTCATTTAATATGCTCACTAATATCCTATCTGTTTAAAAAACAAAACCCTAATTATAATTCCAATTCTAGGTTTAATTGGCTGACTTGTTTCCATTCGGCAAAGGCCGCCCAGCTGGAGGGGGAACAAAAAAGTTTCTTCAAGGACAACATACAATCTTTCCAGGAGCTCTGCTAATGCAATAACCTGAGTGAGCCATCTTTGGATTCAGATGTAAATTAGATTGTAATGATGTTCACTGATAGCTTTTAATCAAATCTTATCTGCAGAGAATGATGGACGTGTGCAGTCTCAGTCTTTGTTTTTGCTTGCTGCTGGACAACTGAAGGAAAATGCCCTTGGGGGCTGAGGCTGTGGTTATCGCTGTCTATTAATCTCTACAATATTTTCGTGGTTTATTAAATGGAAAAAGGATATTCGACTGGCAATAATATAAAATTGAGAGATGCAGAAAGTCCTTTTACTAGATATAACCAAATGAATATGAATGCTCCCAAAACAATGATTAAAGTATTCTTTTTCTCGTTATTATTATTGATACATGCTTTACATTATCAGCCAACATCAAGACAACTGTGTGGCCTTGAGGCACACAAAACATTGTGCGTGGTTGTAGGAGTACTGCATCACATTGTAGATATTGGTAATCTTGTTTCACCTATGTAGAATTGCAACTGCTGCCTCAGGTCAATGTAAATATGTTTGACGTCCTTCCACAGTAACAGTGGTCCTCGAACACTGGTGGGCTGAGGAAAACAAAACAAAAAAAAGCAATCTCTCCGTGCAGGCGCGACACCACACTGAGAAATCTTATTACAACCAAAAATGTTAAGATATGACCAAGATATGTTTTTACCACCTATCAATTCCCCCTCCGGCCACTGATGTGGAAATCCCAGCATCAAGTGTTTATTTGTGTGAATTTCGTTCCGCCTGGCAGTGGGACGTGCGGCGAGTGAAATCCTTTGATCCCGCACGAACATGTGACAAGCATGACTCTTCTCTCCGAAGGCTTTATCACAGCCACTTTCTTTTATTCTATGCTTCGCTGGTGCTTATCACGCTCGGTGACATCCCTGATCTAAAACACGCTCACTGCGAGTGGTACTGAGTGGGACTATCGATGGCTGAAGCCTTCACTGGGGTAATATAGTGCCCTCCTCAAGGTTCAATTCTTGGCTTGTCATCTGGTAGATGAGTTAAAACCCTGATTATTGACACAAGACCTCTGAGGGAGCATCACAACCTCTGGCTTTAAAAAATAATCTCTGTCTTAATTTATCTTTAAGCTCTCTGAATGTTTGGCTGGATTTCTCATGATGCCACAAATGATTCCCACCCCCCAAGGATAATATTCCTGCTGTGTTGTCCTTGTGTTTGCCTCTTTCTTAATGGATGATATCTTGTTTCTTTATATTTTCTTTTCTATTATAATCCTTACCACAGTTACTTTTCAAGAACACTGCCTGTGTAAAGACATGTTTAGCTTTAATCAGTCTGACAGCTTAAATGAAGGTTAAACAAATATCAGGTATAAATAATGGGATGTTTTAATCTTACCAGTATTTTCTTGCAGAGCCAACAAAACAAGAAAACCGCACTGGGGGGGATTTTTGTTTTGTTTGTTTTTTTGAATGAAAAAGAAATCTGGGAATGCTGGGCTCAGGAGCATACTCTCTTTTCTCTACTGCAGCTGTAATAAAGGGAGAAGAATTTGCACACAAAGAGGCTGAAAGAGGCCATTAAATGATGTTTTTACCCTTTAATCATGGCCGGGTGATTATACTTTACAATTTTACATTTAATGTGCTCTGTCTTGCATCCTCTGTTTTGATTTGCTCCTACGCTGTCAGAGAAAGAATAGCACTTAAAGCAGTAATGAGCTCGTTTTGGGTATTTATAAAAGTCTAGGATTATGAATGTGTTGATAAATTTCCTTTATCTCTTTTCTTGTTTTAACAGGTAAAGCCTTTTCGTTATGGCAAGACATGACACCCCAAATCCATCTGTGACTGCCACTTGAGCATTTGTCATTTTTATTAAGCTTTTCCAGACTAAATATGGCAAACTGTGGCAGTGTTACTCTTCCAGCATAAGACGTTCTGCCAAGCAACCCTGGCCACATGATCACTGGAGTGCTGGCAAGAGCCACTGTACCTACAAATTAACTGGAAGAGCAGTTTATGCAGCTGTAAAAGCTTTTATCCTCTGCGCTGGGAGGAGCGGAAGACGGCAGAGGGTTGGAGCTGAAGTAATTAAAGAACAGATGTGGCATGAGTGTCATCAATTTGCAAGACACTTTACATCTTAATGCAACCAGCAGATTACAATGTTTCCTGCAGAGAACATGAGTGTTTATTCTGCAGCAGGTCTTTGTCCAAACTGCAGCTCCTCCGCCCACCCAGAGGTGGATGTAGCCAAGGCAGTCGTCCTGGGGATGGTGCTGGTGGTCTTTGTAGTGTTTGGGGTCCTCGGAAACATCTTGGTCATCCTGTCTGTGCTGTTCCACCACCACTGGCGCTCGGTGACACATTACTTCATTGCCAACCTGGCAGCAGCAGACCTGCTGCTCAGCTCTGCTGTCCTGCCCTTCTCCGCCACCTCAGAGGCTCTCGGCAGGTGGGTGTTTGGCCGGTCCTTCTGCAGCGTATGGGCCGCCCTGGATGTCCTCTGCTGCACTGCCTCTATCCTCAGCCTGTGTGTGATTTCTATTGACCGCTACCTGGCTGTCAGCTACCCCCTGCGTTACCCCGCTATAGCTACCGGACGGCGAGGCCTGACCGCGGTGGCTGCTCTCTGGGGACTCTCAGCAGCTATATCTGTTGGCCCTCTATTCGGCTGGAAAGAGCCCGACCCAGAGGACGAGACAGTGTGCCGAATTACAGAGGAGCCTGGCTACGCCTTGTTCTCAGCCTTAGGATCTTTCTATATACCACTGGTCATCATCCTGGCCATGTACTGTCGTGTATATACCGTGGCGAAGAGAGAGACCAAAACCCTGAGGAAAGGGAGGAAAGGAAAGGGGGTAGAGATGGAGGGGGTGATGCTGAGGATACACAGAGGGAACGCTGCTCAGATAGGGAAGCAGGAGGGTGACGAGGGGACCGCAATGCATAAACGCTCCTCCTTTTCCCTACCAAGGCTGCTGAAGTTCTCAAGAGAAGAAAAAGCAGCCAAGACTCTTGGCATTGTCGTTGGATGCTTTATTATGTGCTGGCTGCCTTTTTTCCTGGTTTTGCCCATCGGTAGGTACCTTCTTACCTCCTCTGCACTGAAGCTGACAAAGCCTCACTTTGTAACACTCGTGTTCTTCTTTAGGTTCAAGGCACACACCTAAGCATCTGCTATTCTCAAAGAGAAATTCATCTTTTGTTGCATACTGAAGGACATTTACTGCTGTTTTAGCTACTAAAAATGTTCTGTCTAGCATCAAAAAGTTGGAGAGCAGAAAATAGTTATTTATCAATATATTTATACACAAGAGAAAACATGGTATTTTGAAATGAAAAAAATACACAAATATTTATATAATATTATCACGGCATTTTCAACCTCACTGCAGGTTAAAAATGCAGATGAGTTGAAATTGTCTTTGTAAAACAAGTTTTGTATGGATGTACCTGTGTCAGATGGCTGGGTGGTGAAAACACAAAGAAAGAGCCTTGAAAATGTTCAACAGTCTGAGTTCTTTTTCTTTGCTGCTAAAGGTTTTAGTACAACAAATAAAAAAGAAATCAGACTAAAGATAAAATAATCGAACTAGAGAAAACTTCATTACAGCAGTGGTTATGCTAAATGGGGATGCACACCATTTAGTATTTGGGTACAGCCACTGCAGCATGCGGCTTCATAACCCCTCCCACTTCAATAAATAACACTTTAGCAGTATCCACCTATTACCCAGAGGATAGTTAACCCTAGAATAGACTAGTAAATGTAGCAATAGAATGAAACCTACTCCTATATGCCACACTTGTAACGTTGGTTTAAGGCAGGTTTAAAGAAGAGGAAAAATATAGTATAACTTGTTTTGGAGAATCTAAAGTCTGCTTATCATTGATTATTTTTGGAATTAATTTGCTTGTAATAGAGTTACACCTCAGTTCCCTTAGTCTGACAGTAAGTGCATTACTTTTGTGTTTGATTGGCAGGTTTCGTGGAATATTTTGATTACAAAGATAATGAAAAACTTAACATTTCCAAGCAGGAGACTTAATATGATTCATCCAATGTTGATTTTTTTCCTTTTATAAGACTATAACTGTAATTTTAGCATTTTCACAGAAGCCCCCATTGAATGGAAAAGATCTGTTGAGCATGAATTATTCTGCTGGTGTCCATCTGTAGATATGGGCTGAGGATAATGTGAAGAAGCTCAATAAAAGGTGAATGTCCATTCAGTCAGATATCCTCAGCTTTATGTGTAATAAATTTTTCCTACATTCTCGTCAATGATGGTGGCAGCAGTGATGCTATCACAGATGTAAGAGAGGACAGAAACCAACCGTTGTGAGGCTCTATCTAGAAATCTTAATTGCTTCTGAAATAACTCTTACAGCTTGACTGAGATAAGTGATTGTTGGAGTGGACCGGCATGTTTTTAAGAATAGCAGTCAGTCAGTATTTACCTCCCAGGTCACAGATGGTGAGATTCACGCTGAAAAATCTATTTGGTTACATAAATACTAATCTTATTGAAGGCGGAACCCAGCTACGATAAGAGATGTAGGAGACGTGGATGAAACACATCATCTGGACAAATAATATACGTGTTATCGTTTTCAGTTTTTTCTTTGCAGTGTGTACTTTCATAACTATCCATATAACAGACACAAGGTATAATCCAAGTGCAAACAAAAGGCCTTTTATTCTAAAGACTAGATGTTCATGTCTCGGTTTAGTCAACAATCAAGTCTTTATATACTGGGATTAACACATCACAATAACTGTACCCCAGTTATCATAATATGACAAAACAATACCAAGCCAAGGTCAACTACCGTAGTTAGTTTTTCCATGTTGATAGAGATGATATCAAAGATTTACTATTTTCATTGCCCTTATTTTCCAACTTTTGTGATCATTTCTATGCCATTGTTGTTTAACACAGGGCTCTAGACTAACTTTTTGACATGGGCGCACCGGTACGCCTAAGTTTTTAAACTTAGGCGTACCGGCACAAAAGTTAGGCGCACTCAAATTTTTCAACTGCATCGCTTAACACCGCAGTTTGACATGTGCACTTTCTTTGGGGGGGGGGGTCCATACAGACAATATTAATTTCTAAATTATTAACTAACAAACTTGTGCTTAAAGTGCTTTGTCAATATTGTAGAAAATGTTAAACTTAATCATCATCTTGGCCTCCTCTGGCGACCTGTTTGCTGCTGTCTGCTGCTGAAAGGCCGTGGGGAGAGGGGACACTTGGGCAGTGCATTTATTGCAGCATATAATGTGTTTTCTGGATACACTGTGCTTTTTCAGCATTCAAATATTGATGGCACCGTGTCAGAGCACTGGCTATGAATTTCAGACAGATCAGGCCTTAACAAAAAAGTTGTCAATAGTTCTTTTCATCGTTTCTTATTACCCACAGCTTCATCCACTTCTCTCAGGCCTAGGCTGCTCACTAGGGCTGGGTGTCATCACTGATTTCTATAATCCATTCGATTCCGGTTCTCAAAGTCCTGATTTGATTCAATTTAGCCTCAGACAGTCAGAAATATTATCATTCTGATCATTTATCAGTACTGATACACATGAGACTTCATCAGAATTGTGAAAATCACATCAGATGCCTTTGTGTGAAAGTAACTGAGAATAAAACACAGAAAAACATGAAGGAGATTTTCCTGGTCTGGCTTTTTATAGCAGATAACCTTAAAAATATTCTGCAATATTCTGCAATTTTGCATAATTTTAAGAAATTTAAATTTCTTCAGTATTGAACAGCAGAAATTAGGCTTTCTTGTCCGAGGTCATTTAAGTGAAAAAAGAAAAAGCGCTGTAAACAATGGTAGACTGGTGGGTAATAAGCGAATGAATAATGCAGAAAACAGATTTGAGATGGGAAACTGTTCCTGAAGTACAGAGAGAGAGAGAGCTGTGCAGGAAGTGTGATTTTTATCGTGGTGGAAACAAAACAGCAAAAGTCAGAGGGAATTCATGACGACATTGATCAAATGTGAAGCGCAGTTTGCTGCTTCTTTTGCTGCTGGCTCGGTGAATTTTGGTTGGAGAGAGACAAAAATGCAGCTCAGAATCAGCGCAAAAAGACGTAAACACAGAGCGGACCCGACGCATCAGAATCGCTAAGCTCCGACAGCGTGTCTGTGTTCGGGCTGTTGGGTGAGAATGCCGAGAAAGACAAAGCTGATTCTGATGCGTCGGGTCCGCTCTGTGTTTAGGTCTTTGTGTGGAATCCGTTAATGAATTGATATCGCTTTATTCAAGCTACTCACCTCTCTCTTCCACCTGCACTTTCAACTGGACCACGGCCAATCAGAGAGGTCCCGCCCCTGACTACCTCTGATTGGTTTAGTCCATGATAGGGGCATAATGTATGTGTGTCTGTTGTTGACCACACAGAGAGTTGCAGAGATTTTTTTGGTTTTGTTACCGGAACAGTTGGTCGCACAGGTGCGACCAAATAATGATGGCTGAGTTCCATTCACCTGTTTTCTTTTCAGGTGTTTGCTATTATGGCTTACTGGTGTCCGAAAATAGAGCTATTAATGTTAGTACGAACACGTGTGCTCCTGCAGTGACTGTCTGTTATGTTAAATGTCTGTTAGGAAATAACAGCTATTAATGAGTCATTTGTTTCTCAAAGCTAATAAACTGTGACAGATTTTTGCACAGTGCTATTGCCCATCTGCTTATAATAGGGGGAACGTAACATTAAAGGGCTCTGCACTATTGGATTAAATAAACAAAAAAAGACCATAAAACTGTGATGGGCAGCTTTAACAGCTGCAACTGATGTTGTTTTTATCTTGTGTAAGTGCATGCATGCATGCCATCATGGCAAAATGTGATCCCCGTGACACTTGCTGCAGTGGGAACTACCACAAATACTTTGGCAGGTGTTAAAATCTCTTTGGAGTTTGTCTGTGTGGTAGTGTGGCAACCCTGCAAGGTGTCAATTCAGGTCCACTGAAGTTATGACAGTCATTTTCAGGGGGACAGTAGGAATTTTCATGGTGGCTCTTTCACATTTGCCAATATATTACCTTTAGATACAATAGCAACTTTCTTTTGGGAACGGCAATCTGTGCATCACAGTCCCACTCCAATGCAGTAATTAAGTCTGCATAAAAAGCAGCTGAATCATCATATTATAAAGATCACATGTATATTTATCTCATCCTTGAACGGTGTGCAAATCTTAACAAAACTTTGCACATCATCAACAATACAGCGGTTATTAATATCTATACTGTATGTTTTTCAAAAACATTTGTTACAGCTCTTTTAATTTTCATATATATTATGTTCATTTCATGTTATGTTTTATATTTACGTTTGTTTCACGTTTATTGTACACGGTCCATAAAATTTGTATCCTGGTTTGACTTTTGTTCGAGTCACTGCTAAATACAACGTGAAAAAATGTAAAAGTACCCATAGTTTGCATAAAATTGGTTGGTGTTTTGGTGTATGAAAACAACATCAAGCAAGCTCTTTCTCCTTCTCTACTCTGCCTTGATTCTACTGGCCAAGTTTCTTTAAAGGAACATCAAGAAATTCAATTATAAGCAACAACACAGACCAAATAAAGCACCATATTGGAGCAGAAAAGGCTTCAGCTGTGAGCTGAAATGGAAAGAAGCAAACTACTACTCCCTCCCCAATGAAAGCTATTATAGATAATAACTAGCATGAGGCTTAATGGGCTGTAATGCCAGGAGGCATCCTCAGTCACCCTGTACCCACCTGAGGCAGCCAGTCACAGGAGGATAGTTATGCATTTCAACTGAGACGGTCCGTCACGGCTCACGGCACAGTGTTCATTCAAGCTCTGAGATTCACAGACTGAGGGTTTGAAAAACCACAAGTATATTTTTTATTTATTTTGAATTGTCCTGAGCCCCTCAGATCAAATGCTTGGTTTTTTTTCTAAACCATTTGGTCACCAGCTTTTCACAGCAGCTGCTTCAATAGCAACTATAAGGGCACTCGGGGAGCATTCACCTTTGCTAAGGCCAATAGTCGGATTTTTTGTAATACAAACATACATCATATAAACACAAAGGTCAGAGTGATACAACACCAGAGGGGCAACATCAAATATAAACTTGCACGTTCACATTATGACAGCTGCTTTCCTTTTCCAGCCCAGTCTGTGTAACAGGTACATTAGAATTTTTACAATTAAAGCTGAAAAATTACATGAACACTGTGAGAGAAACCAAGATCTTTCCCAAAACTTAACAGATTAGTTTTGGTTTCTAAACCTGGATGATGCCTGATTGCAACCAAAAGTTATGTCGATGTCAAGTAAATTTGATTTGGCCACATTCCATGAAATGTAACCATTTAAAATGTATTTCTCTAATAAAAACACATGGTAAATTAACATGTAATTGAAATGCTCAAAGTCAGTGTTCTGGGCATAAATATTTACTCTCTAGACTCTTTGGCCAGAAGTTTCTAGAACACTTGGTTTCAAAGCTACATCTATAAAAAAAAAACTGTGGACCCAAAGCACACAAATCACAGATGCCTCGTTACTGCTAAGTTAATAACTGGAATTTAACACAACAAAACTCAAGCAAAAGCTTTGTGGACAGGGTGTACCACACAGCAAACCGTAGTATTTGTCAGATAAGTTCGTTTAAAAAATGCTCCAAAAGGCACCAGCAGTACAAATAGGGTCAAGGTTTAATGATTCAGCTACATCGAGGTAAGGCCTAACATCCACGCTCCTAAATTAAGGTATTAACAAAATCCAATAATAGAGTAATGTGCTCTGAAGTTTGATGTTTTTAAAATGGGATTCTGTGGGGATTGATTTGCTCTTGGAGCCAGCCTCAAGTGGCCACTGCAATTTTTGGTAAATTGGCATTGGCTTCATTTTTGAGCTCCAGAACTTGGCCTAAATATAACTGAGAGAAAAACATAGCACCACACAACAAAATGAAACTAAAAAGCAACTTAAAATAATATAAATAAATGGTATAATAAATGTAAACCTTAAAGGAGCAGGTAAAGAATGAATCTACTCTGCAGGATTACACCGCTGTAATGTATGCTCCCCTCATGCATGCTAATTTTTTCAGTCACCCGATGTTGGCAAATGCCAGAATAAATTAATAGGGAAAAAAGCCTAACTATTTCACAGATTTACTGCCTTTTTAGTGCCAGTACAGTTATTACACTTGCCCTTTTTCTTCCAAGATGCCATTTTAAATTATTCATTATTTGTTTTTTGTTTTTTTGTTAAGGGACGAGTCAAGATCATCCACTTGGGAAATGTTTTATTTATAAAGCTGGAAATGTGCGGGGACGTTGTCATGCTGACAAATAAAAATATCTGTTTCCAGAAAGTTGTAATTATACAAAAACATGAATAAATTGAAACCACGTGAAATTAGAGAATGGTTTAATCTTGTCAGATCTATGGGCTTTCAATATCTGCCTTTATCTAGGACCTTGAGGTATTATTGCTCTCATTGGTGTGCTTTTGTATTCATTTTCTGATTTGAGGTTCTTTCTGCATCTTTGCTAGGATCCATCTTCCCATCCTGTAAGCCTCCTGAAACCATCTTTAAAATAACCTTCTGGCTGGGTTACCTCAACAGCTGCATTAACCCCATTATCTACCCGTGCTTTAGCCAGGAGTTCAAGAAAGCCTTCCACAGCGTGCTGCGTGGCCAGTGCCTGAGAACTGCTGTGCCGACTACTTCTCAAACCCTAGGACACATCACCACCCACTCCTCCGACCCAGGCCCAGTGCAAGAACCTGTCACCCTTTCTTCATTGACTTGCTGTAGAGTGCTGTCGACCTCATCCTCATCTGCTGATGGTGTAGACCAATCTCAGAGTGCACAAGGCCAGAGTAAGAGTCTTCTGAAGGCATGGTGTTTCTCAGCAAGTCAAACTCCAGTGCCAGAGAAGGCCTCCAACAGATCTGCTAAGGTCTTACACCTTTCCCTCGGCATTACAGGAGAGGCTGTTTGACAGCTTTCACTTCGACATCTATGTAAAACTTTTACATATAATTATATTTCACAGAGACATTAGAGTGCAGGTCTAGCCAATAATGGCTTGAGCTTTTGATGGTGCCTCGTTGCATGACACGTCATTTGGAGAGCTAGTAAGTAATACTTGTATTCTCACAACAGCCACTACTGAGCTTCACTTGAACGGGGCATTAAATGTCAAAATTTTCAAGAGGAGCTTTTCAGCTGCCAGCAAGTAGGAGCCTGTGACTGTCCAGCAAGTGAATTTAGGAACAGATGCAAAGCTCTTTTGGTTTGAGAATGCAAGTTAAAAGCCCTTTTGGCAAGTTTCTAGGATAGAAAGTATAACCATCCCTGAATGCCAAGGAATAAATGAGATAACAGAAACGTATAGAAACGCTATTGTAAGAGAACTCTGGAGACATGATATTTTTTGAATATTAGTGGTATTTCTTCAGATTGCACAAAAACCCTTAAGGGTGAGATACTCAAAAGTCATGGAAATAATTAGTATTCAGCGAAAGCTTTGAGAAAGCGTAAGATAGAGGAGGGTGTGTGTTGCATGTGTGACCTTTGCTTTAAAGAGATGAAACAATTTCCTAAAAGAAAAAGTTGAAAATTGCATTCCTTGGTGAGTACTGGGTAAAAAAAAAAGGACATTTTTACAGCACAGCACAGTTTACAGATTTAAAGTGGAAGAGTTTTGCTTTGCTGTTTGTTTGGGTTCTTTGGAAATTGTGTTAAAAATCAGCTTTCAGTGTTTTACAGCATTGCTTGTGTGAATACTGGCTTCCTGCTGGTGTACGACTTGTGCTTTATTCTGGTTATTTAAAACTGATGCACGCGCATTCAAAACTGCAATGGTTCTTCTCATCTGTAAGATGCATCCATAAGGTTTTTTGTGCAGAAGGACTCTAAAATGAGCTGACAAAAACTCAGGCTTGATGTGCATTATTACCTCATTAAAAAGAAGCTATGGCTAACATAAGAAGACATTTCTCTGCTTACACATCCAGCAGAGCAACATTACCATCCTCTAACAATGTGTTTTACTGTCCACCTGATGAGTGAAAGTCTAACAGTAACTCTCATTTTAGCTGCGTTTTGCTGTCTAACAAATCCTAATTAAAATGCCTGTTTAATAGATACCATCAGCCTGGCCTTTGGTGCAGGGCCAGAACAAAAACAATGAGCCAAAAGAAGACTGAATCTTTGTGAGCCAATTACATTCCAGTTCCTAGTGCAACAATTAAGTGAAATCAATTTTCTTCAACTCAGATGTAATTTGAGACATAAGTGGCAGTTACGTTACCAGTCGTGATTAAGTTAGCTGTGTGACAGAGTATGAAAATACAAAGAAAAAGTGTGTGGGAGAACACAGCTGTGAAGTGTGCTTTAACAATGTGCCTGGAATCATTTGGACACATTGGAGAGTTTACTCCTTGTGTAAAAAAAAATCAAATCAAATCAAATGAATGTGCTATTTACTGATCAAATTACCTATGTTATATCTCCAGCAGTGGAGGAAAGCTGTTATCATTAAATCCAAAATGACCCTCTTATAGATGCACTGTTTGCCAGTGACACTGCCATAATGGTTTCACATTTTAATTAATCGACTTACAAAATTCTAAACTGGTAATGTCAGAGGACAGGATACCAGATCTCTATGTGAATTAACCCCACCCCTAAAAATACCCTGTGACAGAAAAATCTTATCACTGAATTTCCATTTGTTTGACTCAGGACTGTCAATATTCAGTTTACCTGGAATGACCCCCCATGGCCTTTACTAGAGATGCACCGATTGAAATTCTCCTGGAGCATTCCAATGTTGTAGCTTATCGAAACAAAAATCTCCTTTCATCAGGGTGAAAAAAACCTATTTTTTTTTTAAATAAAAGAAGCAACAGTAAGTTTCATGATTTTCTCTTTTTAAAATGTATGCATCATTGATTGTGCCCCTGTTGTATGGCACATTTTACCTTAAGAAATAGAAACATGACCATTATATTTATATGACAAAACAAATGTCAGGTACGTATGTAATTGTCTGGCTTATTTATTGTGATCAGAGGTTTAAATATACTCATCATGGGCATGAATACCATGGTAATTTGAGTTGTTTTTAACTCTTTCTTTAAGCTGTTCTCTTTCCAGGGTAAAATGATGGTACAGCACACATCTTTAAAGACTTTCAAAAACAAGAATCGGTTGCACAAGTTTGAATCTGTTTTGGATTTTCTCTAATCCACACAGGCTCATAATTATGCATCCATCCCTGCTAATGTTTAGTTAATTGTCCCTTAGCAAGTTGCACCTCTGCCAGACACATTTGGTAGCTATCAACAAATGTCTGGGATAATTTGTGCTGGATATTTGATCTTCTTGGCAGAGTTGGTAGAGTGTATTTAAACTGATGGGGTTCCTGAGCCTTGGTGCTTCCTGGGTTGGTTCTAAGAGTGACAGTTTAGGTCATCTTCCAGACCTCAGATAAGTGGTGACACAACAAAATAACTCATACTTGTTCTGATTATTGATAAATCCAATGAGTGCTGTCAAAAAAAGAACAGTTCAGAAATGATTACAAATAGAAATATCATGGCATTGATGTCTATGACATGTGTATCCAAACCTCTGACCACAACTGTAAATTCAGCAGCTAACAGGACATCAACCCTTTTCCTCTCTTTCATTTCTCTTGTAACAGCTTTGATCCTTTGCTCATACTGAGGCTTTTGTTTTGTGGCTGGCTCTGGGGACTGTATGGCTTTAACTTTTTCCACTTTGCCTCTCTCGGCTTTTTCAGACTGTCCATTTTAAGTTCAGCTCAGTGAAGGTGATTTAAGTGATTGGGTGACCCTGGCCAAATGATCGGTGCATCTCTAGTGTTTACTTTAATCACTTCTGCAATTAAATGCTTTTTTAATGTTGTAAGTTTATGAAATGCCAACATTATCCTGTCATCAGTACTTGAAACTGTTAATGAATTATTTTGTATCACATCAATAACTGAAAACTTTACAGCGGTACTGCAGTTTAATTAAATTACATTGCATGAAAGTAAAAAGCAGCAGAAAACAAATACAGAAATAAATAACAGTCTAAAAAAATGAATGCTCTGAAATGAGCATTCTGTGTCTATATTGAAATTGAGTTTAAATCTGTTCATTAACTAAAAACCAGTGTATAAACAAACAAAATGCATTCCTGTGTCAAGATAAGCTGAATTCTTCATTCAAAAAAACAAAACAAAAAAGAACATGTTGTGAGCATTGATTCATACCTTTAAAATGTGCTTTGGGTGTCTTATCTTCTCTAAAAAGTTATGTTTTTTTGTCTTTTTTTAAACTATAAATCCTTTGCTTCCTTGAGTTATAAGTTGTTTTTCTTCACAGCATTCGGATTAAAAAGCGTTCTTCTACCCTACAGACATCGTAGCAGTGATGAATACCTGAGATGAGCTTATCTGCAAAACGCAGACTGTAGAAAGAATTCCCAGAAAACAAGCGATTTGTCATTTAACAATAACCTAAGGTCTGTAAGAGGAGTTTCTTTCATCCTGCTTTGCTCTCAAGGATTTCTGCTGTAACGTCTCTTGTTTATTGTCCAGTAGCTCTAATTTTCAATAGCAGCATAAATATAGAACACGTATTCTTATCTCCATGGCTTCACTCATGTTTCATTGTGAAATCAAACTACAGAGTCCGTCCTCACATTTCTCTGTTTTGTTTAAATTCACATCTTTGGACTGCGGGCACAGCCTCGAAAACTAATGACTCATAACACAATATCACTGCAAGACAGGGTACATGGAGAGGGAGAATCATCACACAGCTCCTTTCTGGGTGAACACACATCCACGCCCAAGTGATTTGTGCCCATCCATGTGTGTGTCTACCAGTTTTTTATGTGCATGTGTGTGTGTATGTGTGTGTGTGTGTGAGTGTGTGTGTGTGTGTGCGAGGAGCAGCTGAGTGGTGTTGCGTCTGCTTCCATCGGTTCCAATGTTATTTATGGAAATAAATGCATCAGATTCCTATTAAGCATTCACCTCTCGTTTTCAAAAAAGGAGCAAAGGATTCAAAGAGTGTTGCAGCAGCTGTCATATTTAAGCAAACAGTGTTGTGATAAATGGATCCAGGCTTCCATTGGGGAAAAGACAAGCTTTAACCTAATCAGTTGACTTAGCAAAGTGATGTTTCATTACACCGTGTGATCATGATTAATAATGTTGAGCAGTGAAGCACAGCAGGTGACAAGAATTGTAACTTCGAGAAGTCAAAGAAGCCTCAATTCAATGAGGAAAGTGTGATTTGTGTTAGAAGACTTTGCAAAAACTTCTTCTGAAAGGCAACTGTTCACGAGCTGGGGTTCCACCAAGTCACCAAGCATAAATGTGTAATTTTCATTAGACTATCAAAAGCATTCCCATGGAATACATAGCTTATAAAGCATGAGCGAAAAGTTTGCACAACTCCAAATCCAAGTAAATGGAAACTCTCATATTCAAAATATACTCAGGTGCAAGACTGATATCTCTGCAAGCGGGCGGAAATGAGTAGCTTACTTGAAAAATGCAATAACTGGCACAAGTTTTGCTGTTATAGTTGCCAGAATTCCCCACTGTGTTGTTTAGTTGAATCATTTTCTGTCTCATTGAACGCTTAGATGATACTCTGCAAAACGAGAGGTGACGAATTCTGCCTGCCAGCAGAAATTAAATTGGACAAAGTTGTTTTATTTTATGGCTCCCTGAATTATATGTTGTTAGGTTTTGGCCAAAAGTCAAATCTTATGCTAAATTTTCTTCCTGTAGCAGATGCTAATGTTTTTCTTGGAGTTGGAGGATTGCATAGCAGCTGGCCAGATAATTGAACGAGAACTGCTCTGCGGCTTCATTTGTTGTGCCATAAGGAATGTAATGTCCTTCCATCCTATCCAATTTTCGAGAGACTTTTTCTAGGTCAAGTATTAAAATTAAGATCTATAAGAGCATGAAAAATATTAGTCAAAGTGGATGTGAGGGAAACTTGACACATGAGCCCAGACGATGTCACCAGCTGTACATTATACATTCATCAGGTAAACACATGCGCAACTCCAAATAAATGCTAATATCTCATTGTTTCCATGCATCAGTGAGTTTGTTTTGGAGTTTCTCTATTAGTCCAAACTCAATAATTGCAGTGTAAAAAGTAACTAGATGTGTCAGTGAGTGTTTTCATCATTTATCTAGCATTGCAGTAGAAGTGGAAACTTGCACACACTGCAAAAGGAACAGGCCCTGAGAGCTACTGATGAAAGCCAGTTGACCATTAGCACATATATTGCCACCCCTGTTGTCAAAAGCAAAATCACAACTATGATTGGTCCCAAGCCCAGATAAATGGGGAGGGTTGCATCAGGAAGGACATTGATGTTCAGAGCTATAGCAACTACGGAGGAATAAAGCAGATAAGCTCTAAGGAGCTTATAAGCTCTGGGAAAGAACTGTTGAAGCTAGGTTAGAAGAGAGGTGACGATCAGTGAGCAGCAGCATGGCTTCCTGCTGAGAAAGAGCACTGCAGATGCAATGTTTGCTTTGAGGGTGTTGATGTAGAAGTACAAAGAAGTTCAGAAGACGCTGCATTGTGTCTTTGTGGATCTAGAGAAAGTATATTATTGTGGTACTGCATGAGGAAGTCAGGAGTGTGTGTATGTGTTTGAGGGTGGAGCGGGACATGTATAAGGATGATAGGAAGGCCAGATGGATTCAGGGTGGCTGTGGGATTACATCAGGGACTGACTCTGAGCCCCTTCTTGTTTGCAGTGGTACACAAATGAGATCAGTCACAAGTCTCCATGGACTTTCTGCTAGTATATGTTTGCAAGATGACAGTGTGATCTGTAGTGAGAGTAGGGAGCAGGTGGAAGAGAGCCGGGAGAGATGGAGGTATGCTCTGGGGAGAAAAAAAAGTCAGTGGAAGCAAGATGGAATACATGTGTATGAATGAGAGGGAGACATGTGTAGCAGTGAAGAAAGAAGGAGACGTAATGAAAGTGGATGAGTTTAAATATCTGAAGTCAGCAATCAAAACCAACAGACAGGGAACAAGAGGGTGGAGCAGGTGGAGATGAGTGTCAGGGGTGATTTGTGACAGAAGGATAGCAGCAAGAGTGAAAGGGAAGGTTTAAAAGATAGGAATTAGACCTGCTATGTATGTTTTGGATATGTTGGCGGTGGCAAAAACACAGCAGGCAGAGCTGACGATAAGATTTTCACAGGGACTGATTAGAAGTGAGCACATCAGAGTGACCCTAACCCTATTAACAGTGTTACTAACGTATATGCAGAGAGAACATCAACAAGCAACACATAGCTGAAAATCCACATAAATATTGTTGATCTGAAGAAAGTTTTACATCAAATGTGTGATTTACTGTAAGCTCTACAGACAACCTGCGCATGAAGGACCTAACACCTGCTGAATATTGTGTAACATAATTTAATCTCTTGATTTTTAAAGTTACAGAAACATATAATAATCACAATCATATCTCTGTATGTAAAGTGTGCGTGTTAGTCCCTATAGGGAAATAGTTCCTCTGCATTTAACCCATTCACCCAGTGGGCAGCCACCAATGCAGCGCCCGGGGAGCAGTGTGTAGGGACGGTACCTTGCTCAGGGGTACCTCAGGGTAGCCGTTCAGTGGAGTCGAACCCCCGACCTTCCGATCATGGGGCCACCACTCTACCTACTGAGCTATCCCTGCCCCGTGTATTCTCCCGTCTGTCTGTCAGTCTGTGTGCTCTTTGCATTCCTTAACACGCAGCCATCTGATCCATTTTGCTGAAATGTAAAGAAAATGTGATTTAATGGGATGTAAACTCATGCTGAAGCAAATGAAATATCAAGTTTTAAGTTGCCTGTATGTGAGGTGGTCTCTCACTCTCTTTCTTTTAGAGTAAAGAAAGGTAGCGTAAGGGTTATTAAAGGTATATTAAATTGGACAAAGTTGTTTTATTTTATGGCTCCCTGAATTATATGTTATTAGGTTTTGGCCAAAAGTCAAATCTTATGCTAAAGTTTCTTCCTGTAGCAGATGTTAATGTTTTTCTTGGAGTTGGAGGATTGCATAGCAGCTGGCCAGATAATTGAGGTGGTCTCTCACTCTCTTTCTTTTAGAGTAAACAAAGGTAGTTTAAGGGTTATTATAGGTATATTAAAAATCTTCATGATCCTGACCTCTCCTTTTAAACATAAAAGAAGTATTTCAACTTGTCTGTGCTCGCACCAACCTTCAAACTTAATCCAAACAGAAACACATCTAATCTTCATGCATGACTTCTTTTTAACTGATTTTAACTAATTTTGTTGTGCCAAAGTAGGAACAAACATGAACTTCTGTGTTAAACTGATCCAAGCCACATGTCAAGGATCACCACCACAGTACACAAGCCTGAAAATCGTCCATAAAGTCAGGAGTGTGTCCAAGTGCATGCTCATTATTTGCTGACATTCAAACATGCACCATAAATTGGCAGAAAAAGAAAAGATGCCAAAGCATTGAAGCATTGCCATTGTTCTCTTGTTTAGTTGCTCACAGCACACATTTTTGGTCACACCAAGTAAAATATTCACTTTCCGCATGCTCTGCTTGCTACATTTAGCTCTCAGTGACTCAGTCCTCACCTTCAAAATGAAAATAAGGGTCCAAGGTTCACTTTTTTGACTCACTGGAGGAGTTTAGAGCTTGATACAGATGTGCAAGTACAAGTAGTGAAAGGAGCAATCAGGAGTTGCATGAAAAGATAATCCTACAGTGAAGAACAACCATATATTTTTATTTATTTTTTCGGGCTGGGGGTTCATACGTAAATTAACTTTCTGTTTCTGTGAAGCCATAAGTTGGGAGCAGCAAATGGCAGCTGAAATATTTCTCTAAATGATGAGAATGTGGTACAGAAAACTCCTTGTTCTCTCTTTATTCTTCTAATACTGGTCATTTTGATTCTTTGTATATTCATTGAAGGCTAATGATGTATAATTTAACCTATTTTCCTCTCTTTTGCTGGTGAAAGGAGTTGGTATGAGCTGCCAGACACCCTTATTTCCCATGCACAGTAAGTAAAGTTTAATGCCAAACACCAGCCCCTCTGTAGAGTTCACTTCAAAATCATCTTTTCATTAAACTGTCTGTTGAGTAATGTGCTTCCTTTGGGTTTTCATACCAGCAGCAGAAACACTGGTGCATGTCGTAATTTCCATTTCTTTGGAGAGGCACTATGACCCATTAAGTGGCGGGTCAGGTGGAGATGGGAGAAGGAGGACTTGTTTACAGAAATCACATCCAAATCTCAGCTGAAAGCACACAAAATGTTTCAGAGGTGCATGTGAAATCATGTGGGGACATCTCAAATCACACTGGCTCATGTGGATAGCACATACCACCCAGCGCGTTCAGAAAATGCATATCCATCATAAGAATTTTATGACAGCAAGTGGATGTCAATATGTCAGAAAGAGGATTGCTGCTCTGGCTGCATGTCAAGTAATGCAGTTGATGGTTGGGAGAGGTAAACTAAAAAGTGGAGATCGAGATATTTTCAGCACACAGCTATTTATAAATTTTACTTAAGATACGCTGTTGTGGTAAATATTGCACATTTATTGGTAAAGATGTGTCCACTGAGCCCCTCACTGTAGGGTTCAAGTCTTAAGCCTTTCTTCTGGTCTTTTGATATTGATATATGTCCTTTTTATCTCTAGATTAGTATTTATAGCTTCCACCCTGCTTTCATCCCTGTAACAAGTTCATGCACTGCAACCCTAGTATAATATCCCACTCTAGGTATTCACCAGTGGACTGCTCTTACTGACAGTCACATCACGTCCTGCTCTGACATTCTCAGGCACCTGAGGACGACTCGTTTCTTACCTATCACACTAATGCACAA